ATTTAAAGAATTATTTTTAATATAATTATACTTTTGTCTTGGTTTTACGTTTTCCTTTTTGGAATGTGTCAATATATCTTATATATCAGGTTTTGACTTTATCTACTATTTACATTGATGCGATTACATGTATTGATTATATGTATGCGAACTAATATTATAAACATTATTTGAACATTTAAAATTGACGAATAATGTATATACCTAGTTCAGAGTTTTTGGAAGGATAGGCGTGATTCTGATCTCTCTCATGCAAGTACATTTAATTTACCTTCGAATTAAGCTTAACTTTGCTAATTTGGAATGCACTGATCCAGAGTATAATTAATATATTTTCATTATATTGTGGGGAAATCAAACATTAAATCGTATTTAAGCCATATATGTAATATGTAGTATTTCTAATCTGTTTAAAGAGAAAAACCCAATTTGCAATGTTCAGTCTATCAGTTAATATAAAAACATATGCGGGGCACAATTTTCGAGCTAATCGAGTAAACCTTTCCACAGGGATTTTTTTTTACGATTCCAGGTAAATAAAGTTACCAAATGAATGAAATTGGTTGACTATATCATAACCCTCCAGTCCTCTAAATTTTGGATAGTGTCATTTGTTGTGTTTATGTACGAGACTAGATACATTACATTGCTTGCAATTTTAATTTAGTATTAGTATCTGGTAACGAGATTGTTTTTGGATTTTTCTCTTATGAGTTTCGCACATTGATTGCAGTGATGTCAGAGAACATTTCCAAACTCTATTTTCTTATTAAGCAAACTTATTTAGGTAACATGTAAGCCTGTTTGCAGTACTTTTCCTTTTTAATTCATTGATAATTACAGCAAAAAATTCGTTCAAAATAACAAGCCATAATAAATGATTACCGATTATTATTAAATGCATTTAAAACATTCAATGCATTTTTTATTCAGATCAATGAACTAATCTTATCGGCTTATGTTGATGCCATATTCAGCATTTACTTTAATACTTAAACACAATATTATAAATATTCTTTTGTTCAGAAGCTTGTTCTGAAACTGAATACTTGGATTCCCATACTTGGTTAGGAAAAAAACTGCTGTACGAGTATTGTTTCAGTTCCCAAATAATTTGTATAAACAATTAAATTCAATTGCAAAGCTGACATGCGAACATTTTTCATAGTTTTAAATAGTAAGAAGGTTAAGTGCATTTATTTTATTTTCTATTAATTTGCATGATTATTGTTTTTATTTTAATGAAAAAATTTTTTTTTAAAATCTTTATTCTATTTTATATTGAACCAAGGTAGAAATTTCTTGGTTCAAGACGTGAACACGATAACTCGTATTGAAGAATTAAAGGAGGAGTATCGTTAATTTTAATAATAAGTAAAATAATAAGTATATATTATATGTTAAGTAAAAATTAATTATTAATAATAAGTAAAATATTAGGTTTAAAAGAAAATTATTCAAGAAAAAATCTTTTTAAGAACCTCAACACTCTAAAAGTGCACTATAGATCAAGCTGGTCGCAGTGCAGAAAGGCCTTAGCCTAACCCATAAACCATTACTTTAATATTCTAAAAATCTTTTGATTTGCATGGATATAATTAAATAGTTTTGTTTTTACAAGACTCTTTAAGCATGATATTTATAAAATATAGCTAGGTTTTGGAACAGTCTTGCTTACAATTGCTTAGATGAGGTTTTTGGTTCAATTATTGTAATAATTCTCTTTATATAGTATTTAAAAATTAATTTAATTAGTATCTTTTAATTGAATTTATTATTAATAATAATCTTACACAATTTGTGTAAATTCATTTTTTGATTAGATCGTCATTAACACCCTGATATCTTTCAAATATTTTCGCTTAAAAATTTTCCATCTATCGTGCACTTTATTTCTACCATCGGCTTTCAAAGTCGAACTACCCACCCACTGTTTCATTCGACAAAAATACTCAATTTTAAGCATGTATGCAGTCTATTAAGTATGCAGTCTATTAAGTATAGCGAAGTTGTGGTCCTTAGGTCCCGCATCACTTCTTTGTTTATATACAATTTTTACACAATAATTAAGTACTATTTCAAAAGTTAGCTTTAATTTATATACTCTCAAATTTTTTGTAGAACTTTTAGAAGATTTCAAAGAGATATCCATAGCAGTTCCAAGGCGGTTTGATTTTTTAATCCCCTAAAATTTTTCTGTCGTCGAAAGCATCTACTATCAACTAGATAGTAATATCGACAAATTGATTTATTTAGTCTCTGTTGTTATTAAAATTCGACTAAAAATTTTATCACGCTTTTAAAACAGATAAACTTAGTAAACAGATAAATAAACGAGCCAGATAATAACATTATGAGGAATTTTATGCACTAAGAAAGGATCAGTGCGATTTAGAATTCAATGATTTTTGTTAAAGTAAATCGGTATTAGTTTGTGGTTGGCAAAAAAAATGAAATAATAAATTTTAAGTAAATCTACTTGATCAAACCACTTAATCACTTTATCAGAAACACGGTCTTCCGCTATATCTTCTTTCTTTAACTTTCACTTTAAGCACCTTTTCCGCTAGAACATTGTTATCCATCCTTATGACATGCTTAAGCAAATCTACGTTGAAGTATCATATCATCTCAGTGAGATAGATCGTCTAAATTTGGAAATTGCAGAAGTAAATGGGAAAATTAATTTAAAGTAAATCTAGGTTAAAGACATTACCAACTCAGTGAGATAGATCGTGCAGGTTTGGGGAAGGCAGAAGAAAAGTAAATAATGCGTTAAAGTACCTTACAATTTCAGTGACCCATAATGTTAATTAATTATAAATGTGTGTATTGTGAAACAATTGGGACAGAGGTTATTCAAATAAATAACGTCCAGTTTAGATATACAGCAAGAAATATAACATTAAGTGCTAAGTGAATCTAGGCTATATGTTAGAATTTTACCAACTCAGTGCGATAGTTTCTTATATCAATTGGTTGTAAATTTGTAAGTGTTAAAAAACAATTAGATCTACGTTATGCCAATAAGAGGTTCAGTTTAGAAATAAGTAATGGATAGGTGGGTATACTTTAGTCGTTAAAATATGTAACAGATATAATTTTTTCACTGAATTTTTTTCAAGATAAGAGCAAAGCATTAACAACACAATTAACAGTCATTAATATCAAAAAAGTATAAAATATTTATATATGTTTTATTGGTCCCTTTTCGATAAATAATTATAGATATACAATACATTTCCATTAGTGGAAATAGTCAGTGACTATGACTTTGACCTATAAACAGTAAAGGTGTTCGTTTTTATAACTTCAGTTATTGATTTCACCTACTGAACTGTGGGCCGCTTTATTTGTTGGCTGTACTTTATGGTTCTAAAATAACTGAAATATCTGAAATGATCAGGTATTTATACTAGAGCAAGTGCCTGTCATAAATTCTTTACAATTTTTATTAAAAGATACTCATGCCGAATAACTTGTGTCTTTTCAAATTATCAACAATTTTATGCGCTCCTATAATCAAAATGTTTTCAATTTGCAATTTAAAGTTCAATTTTAGCACAATTTTTGTTTATGGAGATATGTTTGACATTCTTTTGCCAATCAAAAAAAAAAACAACAGAAAAATTTAATATCACTTTCGGTGCTTGCCTAGAATTTATAATTCATTTATTGGCAAAAGGGGCAAGGTTAACTATAAACTTATGCACTCGAACTTTTAATAAATAAAATTCGTATTTTAGCACCCATCCAAAAAAATGTACACAGTAGTACTCATCTATTAGTATTTGTATCTTGTATCTTGTATCTAGTATCTGCGCTTTGCTTTTAGTGTGACGAGTATTCACTCGTCGCTAGTACAATGGCGATGACGACATTTTTTATAATAATTAAAATGAATGATTTTAAAGTGACTAATACGCAAACATCTCGAAATTCTGTTTATAAAAATTTTAAAAATATTTTATTTCCAATTTATCCAAATATTTCAAATTAAATTAACGCAATTTATCAGGTAAGCAAGAATAAATTTGCTTATTACTACGAAACGCCAAAATCAAGTTCCCCAAAAAAGGCGTGTGTTTTACCAAAAAATTTGTTGAATGTTTTTATTGTTGATTTTTTAAATTGTTTTTTGTTTTGTCATTTGTCGTTTATTTTACTTTTAATTATTTTTTATATATTATTTTTTGTTTTTTTTTAATAATTTTATTTTATTTGAGTTTTTGTGTCATTTACTCACTTTTGGTTTTAAACAAATTGGTATCTCAGTTATGCTATTTGAATGCTTAATACATTGTGATATCACACTACCGTACTCGCTCGATATAAGTGAGCTTAAATGATTGTATAGTATAGTTCATAGCCTCAAGAATGATAGGCCCAGAAACAATCTGTGGTCTAGGCAAAAGAACTCTACCTATTCTTATGAATGATGCAGAGAAAAAAGAATGAAAACTGTATCAGGACTCTCTCAGCCTAAAATGATGTTAGGGACTTACAGCCTAAAACGCTTCAAAGATTGCTTAGCACAATCAAAAAACAACCTAAGAATTATTACGGGATTATTGACCGGTCATTGTAAATTGAATAATCACCTATCGAAGTTGGAGTATAGCTGGAAATAAGATCGCATTGCAAAAATTATAAACAATAAGTGGGCAGTGCTAGGTATCAATGTTATCAACGTCGTTACCAATGTATTTATATGGGCATAATATTTCTACTCTATTGAAACCACTATCTTGAAATTTTTTTTAAAACATCTATATTTTGCATTGAATATCATAAATAAAGAGAATTAATAAATATTCAAATCGTTTGCAGATATATATTTGATTTTCAAAATATATTTTTTAAAACTTCTGGAACAGTTCGTATTTCTTTAATTCATCAACGTTCTTTCAAACATTTTTCTATATTCTTTTTAATTGAATTCTATTTCGTTTTTATTAATATTGATATTAATGTTTATAAAACTCTTTCTTTTTTTCTAGAATACCTATTACGATTACGTAGATTTGACTCCAATTTATGCAAACCATGATGTATTCGATTTAAAAGATGGTACCAGCTTCACATTTACCGGCTATATTATTCCCAACTGTGAAAGGTATTAAACTTATAAAATAATTTAATTTTTAATTTAGAAAGTAAAATATTTTCTATACAGATTCTCCATAAACTTTATTCTGAACAATCCATCAAAAGATGTAGCACTCCATATCAATCCACGGTTACCTCAGAATTATATAGTACGTAATACTAAGGTTAATGGCGTATGGGGACGCGAAGAAGTTGCTTCAGCGCTGCCATTTACCTTGCATCGCGGTGCAAAATTTTCGATACAAATTCTCCTGACAGAGAGTTGTTACATGATTTCTGTAAATGGACATCATTTTGCTGAGTACGCACATCGTTTACCCTATAAGTCTGTACGCATAATCGAGGTAAAAGGTGATGTTGATAATATCGATATGGAGCGTATTGAAGCTGAAAGTTATCCGGAACGTTTAAGCGAATCACAAATAAAAGATATACGTTTGGAATTAAAACTTCCCCAAACAAATGAAGAGGACAAAGAAAATATAGACGATATTGATGGACATATACCGCAAGAATGGCGTATAATACGTTTAGCTACTCAAAAAGCAGAATCTGTATCTGAAGAAAATGCGGGCTTATCAATGCCGTACTATGGACGATTACAGCCAAAATCTCTTATGGTGGGACGGTGTATAAAAATAGAAGGCCGCATTAAATTGTTACCGCATTCATTTTACATTAATTTACAACAAGGTCAAAATATATGGCCACATCCATTAATCGCATTCCATTTCAATCCACGTTTCTCAAAACAAAGTGGAGCGATTGGTAGTGCGATTGTATGCCGTAATGCTTGGTATAATGGCAGTTGGGGACGTGAAGAACGATCTATACTTGATACAGATTTACGACCTGGCAAAACATTTTGCTTGTCCATTGTGTGTTCACCAGAAGGTTTTGAAGTTTATGTTGATCGTAAATTTCTCACGAGATTTAATTATCAATTGGAGCCTGAAATTGTTGACACCATTTATATACAGGGTGACATTAAGTTGTGGGATGTGTTTTTAGAAAATAATAAGCTTTTTAACGGCAAAAGTCGTTTGTACGAGAATAGTTCATTTTTGGAGTGCGACGAATCCTGAATTTTATACTAAAACCTTTGTTACGATGATACTGAAAAACAGGAGTCAATAAACGATAAGGGTAAACTAATAATAGTAAGTTCTTATCCATTTTATTTTATGTCTTTACACTTTTTATTAACTATTTTCATTTATTATTTCTAGATTCCTGTCTTTGACTGTAACATGGCTGTAGCAAGTGAACTTAAAAAAATATTAGAATATCTATGCTTATATATATATACATATATAAATATATTTATCTATACATTATATGTAACAAAATTGTTAAGTACTTGATTCGGAACTTTGACGCGAAAACATACACATTTATTTTTAACTAAATAATTGTTTCATTTCAAATGAACTTCATTCTCAAATATATATAAAGATTTACTATTTGCAATATTTTGTTTTAAATGTTATGTTATATTTTTATATGCTTTTATATTAAATTTGCTTATTATATTTGTATTTTGTCTTATATTTATTGAATTTTTTTTGCTCTCAGACAATAACTAATCTAAGCGCACTTATTCTTCAAACTTATACTGAAATGTGATGTTTTTAACAAAAATTGTCCAAGATATATTTAAATTGTATTTACAAAGAATATCTAAAGTCTAAAGAATTGTTAAGCCTTAAATTGGAATTGTACCAAAAAAAATTTAATTATTGATTGTTCTAAATTGTATTAAGCATATTATTGTTGTATTGTGTATATTGGGTTTTTCGATAACCTCATATGTAAAAATAAAATATAATCAAAACTATTCAAACCTTTTTAAATGGTATATATATGATATATATATATAGCTTATATATATAGTTTAATATTAAGCATATGTTAGTAATTTAATTCTAGCTTAAGTTACATATTCAAAGTACACAAGTCATAAGTCTATATAAAATAGCATCCATATATATATACATTTAAGAATATGATTATAACACACAGTATTTGTTATAGCGTCCAATACAGTTTTGCGTGTTTAACAATGGCCCTTTAGTCGACCCTGTGTATTGTCTCTTGCTTCCAGTTTTGTACTTGAACCTCTTATATCTCATCTATTATAATTGTGTCGTCTTTGGTTAGGTCTTCCTTTATATTGTTATTAATTTGCGCAATTTCTAGTCTTTAAAATATTAATTATTAGCATTAATATTTAATGCACCCAATTACCTATATGCACCTATATTATGACCCGCAATACGAGAGACGGTACTTTTTGTATTGTTCTTGAGGAAACCTGTGAATAGTGATATTTTAATTTAAGTACTGAGCGGCTCTTGATCATCGTAGAATATCGTCGCAAGCTCTCTATCAAGCAACACCTATTCCTATCCGATGTATTCGTCTTGTAAATTTTTCATGTTATATGCTTTCGAGATCCCAGCGTGTTGCAACAGCAACAACACCGTAAATGAATAAATATTCTTACCTGCTGATATTGGTCCTGTTAGATGTGGTGAGCGATACTTGTTCATTTGGGTATTAAAAGTTGCTTAAAACTGTTGTGTTAGGTTCGACTGGTACTTGTCTCGTATAACTATGCCTATTTCCCAATGTGTGGCCCAACTGCAGCACTAATTCACACTCCAAATTAAGTACTATTGATTTTTAACTCTGACTCATTAAACTGGTGAGATGCCTTTACATAAAACCAATCTAGATTCATTTAACACATAACAATTTTTAATTATAACACACCAAACTATACCAAATCAGTTTTAATGTCCATTTAATAAAAAACGTTATACTCTTTTGCATACCTATATCCTATATCTATATACTACATCCTATAGTGGAACGAATCTATATCTTTATATTGTACAAGTTTTATTTAAATCTTTCTTAGAACTATCTTGAACTTAGCATTAACTCACCAAATTTTCTAAAGACTTTTAGTTTTATAGGTATAAACGAAAGTTTCCTTTAATTCTGTCTATCAGCGAAGTTCTCTGGGTATAAGGCAAATTAATTTTTAACACCACTTTCCAAAACAACTTATATCAAATTTAAATCTTTGAAAAGTGAATCTAGTTGTATACTGTGATATGCGTCACCAATTTTTTGAAAATATTATATATATACTATTGGCCTCAAAACTGCGGAACTATAGGTCGACATGGCTCTGATTTATATAGGCAAGTGGGCAAAAAATCTGAAGATCGATGTAGTAAGAGAAAGAGTTGCTCATATTAAAGATGATCAAATAATTTATGGAATGTACCAGGTGAATGTGAGTGGCAGCCAAGCATCTTCTAAGCTGCTTTCTATTCTATATTGAAGCCTATTTGAAGCCTTAATTTCTAACGAATTTACTATGAATATATGTTAGCTCAAGTGATTTAATTCAAAACTTTTCTATTTACTTTTTAGAATGAACCTGATAATAGAGATTAATGACTATCGTATGAAGTATAACAGATTATTCTTGATATTGTTTGGTTTAATTTTTAATGTATGATGAAATCGTAGGTATATATATTAAATTAACTTTTAACAATTTAATTTTTCTTTGTTTTTGATATTAAACAATTTATATATTTGAATACTATTTAAATACTTTATTTTTTCAAAAAAGTATATAGGGAATTGCAAAGTTCCATTTCTTCCAATATATAAAGTAGTTATATTTTGTCTGTCCGTCCAGATGGCTGACTATATTGTTTGTGTGTATTGTTGATATACCTTTCAATATAAAGGTACATATATCCTTTTAAGGTAAATTAGGACTAATATAAGTTTAATATTTTTTTTTACTGTATTTATTAGTTATTAATCATAATTTCCATTAACTTTAACGAGATCATACCTTACCTATGTTTTTTTTTGTCTGGTAACACTTACATATTTTTAAACTTCATTAGCACTTTTTGTATTAATTTTGTATGGAAAATGACACATATTGCTGTACACTTCTCGAGTTAATTGCGATTGTGTACGCGACTTGTTAGACTTTATAATTATAAAGTCGTATAATTAATTATGAACTGTCAGAATAATGATTATATAACTTCTATTGTAATTATACTTAAAACAATAGATCGATGCCTTTCATACGGAATGAAGTCCACAATTTGGAAACTTAGTGTCATATTCTTTCGAGAATGATATGTTTAAACATTGTTAGGAAACTAATGACAAGAGGTTGATGTAAACTGAAAACCAGATCAATGCTACTACAATCGGGGAATGGTTAGGAGAAAACTTTTTTTTATTTCATAGCAATACTTTATATGTATTTTAATAGAACAATATTATTGATTCAAGTTGCAAGCCATACTATATTTGAATTTGAGGCTCTTTCTATGTCTACCTCGAATCATGGAATCTTGAAGATCCATTATAAGAAACTTAGTGTTTCAAGACGCTTTAACCAGATCTGTTAGTATTTAATTTTGAAATCAAATACCTTGTTCACTACAATAAGTTTGATTTGCAAAATCACACCACAGCCCCAGGTTTGGGGGATTGTGATTTATGTTTATAAATCAGTAGCTTAGTGTGTTGGAGAATGGCTATCCCATAACCCAGTGCATATTTTGGTACTAGCTGTTTTTCTTCACTTTTAATATATTTCTTTTAACAAAAATAGCGGTGCTTGGATATAGTATATATAATATGTACAATGTGCAATGTTAAAATTTTTTATTTGTTAGATCTACGTAGTTCCAACTATAATTTTGTTTATTGGGTCTTGAAGCTTTAACCGTTTTATAGGTGGCAGTCGTGCAACTATGTCGTATTGGGATATCGGAACCATCAGTTTGAATTTATTTTAGAGAAAAGTGAGTGTCTTCATATCGATATTCAAAATAACTGACAGACAAGTATAGTTGTAAGATTTTAAATTAGCACTTTGGAAAGACGGAATGTTTAGTTGTACGTAATCCTTACTAATAGATTTCACTTAATTTCTTTGTTACATTGATGAGTTAGTAGAGTTGGATAATTCTATGAATTTTGTTTCATATGTATATGTGAAAGACATTAGCAGTTATATAAGACATCGTTTTAGCATTATTTAGGAAAAATAGGGATTTGAGACCAACCAAAAAATATGTAATATATTTTATATATAGTAAAGAAATATTATATTAATATTTTTATAATAAAATGTAATATCAATATTGACGTAATGCCAAAAATTATATTAACACCAGAAATTGTTCCAGAAACAAGATATGGTCTTGGGAAATGGTCTATTGATTCAGAGAGATTTAGAAAAAGCTTTTAACATTTCATTGCAGATTATGGGAAATATGGTATTTTGTGTCAAGTTCTGAATTTCAAAGAGCACTTTGACCATGCTATCGCTTACGAATGCTTTTTTCGTTAAGTATGCAATAAAAACGCATTCCAATGAGATTTTATCAATAATAACTTGAGCGTTGGATGAGATTGGGCTCACCAAAATTTTTCTAAAACGAGAGGTTCTACAGCGTGACCGTTTCCAGAAATCGTCCACGATGGTGTCGTCATTTTTCTGAGCTAAAAAGGAAGCGTTATTTAAAAATGACCTCTAATATGTTAAGATGTTAAAATCAGATTATATTTTTTGAAAGAAATATGATACAAAATTCTTGATTGTAAATGATACAAGGTAAAAGATAACGCACCTATACATACAGTTCGAAAAATCTTTACTGCGCTAAAATCACTAAATTAAAGTACGAATTAAATAAATATAAAAAATTTGTTTAAAAACACTATTGATAATGGGACAGTTGTATGGTAAGACAAAAAAATCTATTAACCAGAAATATAATTTTATTATATTAATAGAAAAGTATTTTGCAGCAGTAAATTACAACAACAAACTTTCATTATTTTTTAATTGATTGAATTTTTGGCCGATAATTTGACTGTTTGACTGAGTATTACTAAATACCCAGCATCAGTGGTCAATTGAAAATATTTCTTGTATTTAATTATTCGTAAATAATTTTTTAAGACTGTAAGTACCAAGCGTTAAACTCGTACCCTGTCAAATTTGAAGCTCAGAGTCAGTGCTAATTATCTAACTGATTCAACTACTCAACTGATCCAACTAAAATTTTGTTTTTTATTCATTAGTATTCAAAAATTTTATTATTAAGAAAATAATTTTTATGAAGAAAATAGTCGCTTTTGTGATTATTGACTTTAAAAAGTAAATTTAATATAAAGTACGAGTTATTGCAACAAGCAATCTATTTATCAGATTTATCTCCTGATACTTCTGGGTCTTTTCATACCTCAAAGAATTTTTCGATAGAAAATGCTTTTCATTGAACAGAGAAGTAAATGCAGGCGTGGAAGAATATATTATAGATCGTTCCGAATACTACTACAGAGATGGGATCCATGAACTGGCGGGATCGTTAG